TAACTATTGAGCATATTGTTATATATTTCAAGCTATTTATCTTCTCCGTCTTACATCTTCTTTGTCTATACATTTCATGCATCATGCTCTTCCCCAACAGCTTGAAAAATAATTAAAATACAACAAAGATATTTATGAATTTTATTTAATAGGCAGATATTTTTAATTTCATTCGTATAAACAACTTAATTACATAAACAATTTACTTATGTGAAGTTACATAAGATACAAAATATTTATCTCAACTGTTTACAAGTCATGGTCACCTTGCTGTGAGTTCCATGTTACGACATTCTCTTTATTAATCAAACCATTGTTATGAATAATTATAGAAAAATAATAAACATTTAATTATCTTGTACGTTAACCACCACCGTTATTATGATTTAAGTCGATATAAAGTAAGTTAAGCTATCGTAAACCGCAACCAAACCATACAAATCGTCCGCAAAAAACCGCACCGCATAATGCAGTTTAACACATTTGCAGTATGCGGTATGCGGTTTATGCTTTCCAAAAAACTCAAACCGTATATGTGGTGTGGTTTGCAGTTTTGACTCTAAACCGCATCAAACCGCACCGCATACAACCCTAATACATACATGCCCAATCAAAATCGACGTCATATGGCTTTACGTAATTTAGCATTTTTGAGAATGTATGCATATGCATTTTTTTGGAAATATAAAAATGTGTACATGAAGCAGGGCGGAGCTTGAACGATTGATTTGTGTACATTAGAAAACTAAGTTTAACGTTTTTACACATAAAATAACCATTTTTTCCAGTAATTAAACACCAAAAATTCCTAAAATTAAGGTTCTTACATATAAAAAAACCCAAATTTTTTTCAGCAACTAAACACCAAAAATACCTAAAAGAAGAATTACAACTTAGCCCGTCGACCTTTAAGGTCTTTAAATTCATCAAATTGCTAACTTCGTATCAATGTTTTCAGCAATTTCTCTTTCTATGTAAATCACCAAGTTGTTTGCAAGAAAGTCATCTGACATCTTATTGTGAAGGCAGTTCTTGAATATTTTCATTGCTGAATATCCCCTCTTTGTTGTTGCGGTAGAAACTGGAAGTGTCAAGATTAACCGAACCACTCTATCAAGCAAATAATATGTCTCGCGTTTCTGAGTTTCTACAAGACCATTGCTTAGGTCATCAATAGTTGATACACCACTTAGCTTGGGATTCTTTGTCATATCGATATTAAAAATCTCCAGTTGATATCATAATTTAATTCTCTCTTGCTCGGTAAAATCTTCAGGATAATACTTCTCAACAAGAAGACAAATCTGATTGCTGTTAAGCACTTTAGGGTGTTCTTTTGAAACAAAAGTAGAACTAAGACTTAACAACTCCATCGCTTGATCATTGAATCTACTATTCAACTCATGTAATTGTTTATCCAATGTGCATGTAAACAAATCTACTCGATAAAAATGTTCCAAAGTAACATGATTATCGTTTTTTCGAGGCCGGTTTCGAGTAGAAGTATATGGAGCTTTCATTTCTTACATATCTACTTGATGTTTCTCATAAAATAACTTTACCTGTGCAAATAAAGAATCCCATCCGTTGTTCCTGAAATCATTTAGACTCTCCTTTGTTGCTGAAACTAACTCCATGGCATTAAGAATATCTTGGGATTTCTTTTGTAGAGCTTGAGAAAGTATATCAGTTTTTCCCATTACTTCATTCATTAATTTAAGAATAAAAACAAACTCAAATGATTTCAAGTAACAGTAAGCTCCATCAGCTTCTCCGCAATGAGAATAAGTATTAGATACATCATCAATTATTCCCTAGAGAACAACATGAGTACAATCAAACATGTTAAGAAAATTGCAAATGGAACGAAAATGAGAACCCCAATGTGTATCACCAGCTCTTCTTAATGTCCCAACTTGATTCAATCCTTTACCTGATTCGATTTCACCAAGTTCCAATAAATGTTCAATCTCAGTTGCCTTTGCCTTTTGTAACTCATCATGACACTTACTGGAAGCAAAAACTACATTAATTATAAAAATTAAGTTTGTAAAAAAATGGTGTATAGCAATAATTTCCCTTGAAGAAGCCACCAATGCCAGTTATAATCTGTGAGCGAATCAGTGAACATAATACGCATAATGACAATCCTTAAGAACAAGTGCCTGTAATCCATTCCTTTCCCCTCTCATATTACTAGCACCATCATAACCTTGGCCACAGATTTTACTAACATCAAAATGATAGTGCAAAAGTTGGGTCCATATATTTGTTTTCAAGGTTAATGATAATGTATCCCTAGCATGAACCAAATCCAAGAACCTTTCCCATATGATCCCTTCTGCATCAAAAAATCTCAAAACTATGGCCATTTGCTCTTTTTTAGACTCGTCTAGTGACTCATCAACCATGACACAAAAGTATGAATCCTGGACTTCACTACAAATATGCTTCCGGACTTTTTTTGCAATAATACTAAGAATTTCTTTTTGAACATCTCCAAACGTATACTTTGAATTATAAGGAGCTTTCTCTAATATAACATTTGCAACTTCATCATTATAAGATGCTAGAAGTTTTAGTAGTTGAAGAAAATTACCTCGATTTTTGGAATTAGGCGTTTCATCATGTCCTCATAAAGCACAAGCTTGGAATGTCAACCAATGAACTGTATCAATTGAAGCTTTTAATCGTAAACGATTCTTTAGTATTTGTGCTTCATTTGGCTTCACTATGATATTTTAAATGTGTGTTGCTTGATTCATCAAGTTTTCAGCAAATGTAACAACATTTATATGTTGTGAACAACCTAAGTGCTTCAAGAATGCACAAATTTTCCCATCATTAACTTTTTTCCAATTGTCAAATCCTTTAACAGTAAATGCATCATAACCATGACATACACTTGGTTTATCATTAAAGATATAACAAATAAAACAATAAGAAGCATGTGTTGTTGGAGAATACTCTACCCAATTAGGGAAAATGTTGAACCAAGAATATTGGAATCTACGAGGATGTTTCTTTGAACCTTTAGCATGATATTCTTGAAGACGTATTTGGAAAGTTACTAAAGTCATATAAGCTCGTCTTACTGGTTCCCTTAAATTAACCAGATATTCCCACATTTGTTTTCGTTTAGCGGGATCTCTTTCTAGATTTTTAAGATCCACTTCATTAGGATTTGATTGTGTAGCTTCAAAAATATCATTCTCTTGTTGATTTTCATGTTCTTGCGGTTGCGGCTCACTTGTTGAAGCTTTGTGACGTTTACTGTGTTGATTTTCATTATGAGTTTCTTCATCATCATTCTCTCTTTTGAAAAAAGAATCAATGGCTTTCATCTTTCCCATAAAATTGTATGCTTTGTATGATTGTATCTATAAAAATCAAAATTGAATTCATAATCTCATATTTCATAAACCAACAACCTAAATTCTGCAAAAAAAAACTTATTTCTACAAATCTTATTTCTGCAAAATTTTGAAAAATTCTGAAATCAGTTAACCAACAATGCTCCTAAATTCTACAGATCTTATTTATGAGAAATCATTTAACTAACAATGCTCCTTAGTCCTAAGTCCTAACAATCAAAAATCTAAATAAATTAATTAACAATTACATGATAAAATAGAATTGAAAACTATCAAACATGTTTGATTTTGATTTATGAGAAAACAGTCAAACAGTTAAACATAATTGAAATCATTCACTGATTCCAGCAGGGGTGCATGGCAGTTAAAACACTAAACAAAATTGAGAGATTATGATTTCTGCATTCCCAAGAAAAAAAACAGACAAACCTGATTAAGTGATTATTGGAGTGGACACGATCAATTGATTCCAGTAGCCAGCAGGGGTGCAAGGCAACAGGCTTGCAGGGACAGCACATGCAGATCGTGCAGCACACAACAAGACCGTAATAGCATAACTTTGGTCGAATGACCAATGACGATGACAATACCTATTTTGTTTGATTTGGGCTACTGGAAATCGTTGGGGGGGGGTGCACAACCCAATTTTTTAATGTATATGACTTAATATAGATAAAAATCATGGGCTATTTACACTTCTATTAAAGAAATAGGGAGGCCAACACCCCTCCTGGCCCTTTATAACCTTCGCCCATGCTATGAAGTACATATAAAGTATAAATATCCTACTTAGTATTTTACATCATATTTTTATATGTTACGTGAAAAATAAACAAACAGTCAATATATATATATATATATATATATATATATATATATATATATATATATATATATAGAGTGAGAGAGAGAGAGAGAGAGATAGATAGATAGATAGAGAGAGAGAGAGAAAAGTTTAATAAAAAACCATAATTATTGGTTCTCTAAGGAACCAATTTTTTTTTCCAAGTTTTAGAGCTTATTGTTTATCGAAAAAGTTTGTATCGTGAATGCTAAAAAATAAATTATATATTTTTCGAGTTCACCGTGTGAATTCAAATTCACACTGTGAATCTGCACATATTCACACTGTGAATTTGACGATTTTTTTATCGAATTTGATATCATTGGAAAAAAGATAAAAAGTTATGAATCTCTATATTTTTAGTTTTTTTTTATAAAAACACAAGCTCTAAATGTAGAAAAAAAAGATTGGTTCCATGGTTCCTTGGTTAATTATGGTTCTCTATTGAACCTCACTATGTGTGTATATATATATATATATATATATAGAGAGAGAGAGAGAGAGAGAGAGAGAGAGAGAGAGATAGGTTCAAATGTTTTTAGCAAATATTGTGTGCCTAAATGCTCCAATCAGAATTTAGGAAAAAAGAAATCATTAATTAAATAATAAAGGGTAACTTAGTCATTTTACCTTTATAAACCAAAAATAAATGTTGTATATTTGGAAAATCATTAAATGAGTATCACAAATCCTTTTTAAATCGTTGTTCATCTCACTAACCCGGGTTTCTGTTTTCAATTGCAACTTCACAGACTCGCTAGTTACTGCTTGTAACACGGTTAATGGCATCGGCTGTTCTTGTTGAGACGATTGACGACGACGACGTAAGCTACTCCATAACCATATCTCTCGCAAAACCCCATATCATTTCTGTCAACCATTCTTGATTTCATTTTTCGTTTTTCTTACACTAGGATTTTGATTGGGAAGCAGCCGTTAGAGAGATTGATGTCGCCTGTGGTGAAGCCATTAAACAATCATCATCTGGAGTTACTATTACTACTACCAACGCAACCATATATCGAAATTTTAATTTACATACGGGTTCTTACCCTAAGATTGAAAACAACAAGCCCTCTTCTTCTCGTCAATCCACACTTGATAGATTCATTGGATCGACAGGCTTGAAATCCGCAAATCAGGATGGACGACATGATGCCCAAGATAAGGTTGAGTGCAATGACGAAAGAGTAAGCGACGTTAGCATTGACCCAGAGGCCGCAAAAACCTGGATATACCCAGGTATCTGTTTACTTTACCATAGCTTTATATATTGCAGAATTGTCACTCTTTAATCCTTTTGGGATCTACTGATTTGTTGAATTTTGATTATGGGGCAATTCAGAACATCCATCATTATAAAAAAAACTAAGAGACAAGATTTTTGTTTAGTGCCTACCAATTGTTTGTTAAAAATCCTAAGAGACAAGATTTTTGTTTTTCATGTTTTTCACAGGTTTCAATATTGGCCGAGGGATAAGCTGTCATTATTGAGAATTTAAAGAAAGTTTCATGCTGCATACCAATTGCTCGATAAAATGCTTAAATCAGGTTTCTGGATTTTCTATCCAATCTTTTTATATAAGTTCAACTATTTTTTTGGCAAATATAAATGGGTTCTTCATAAAGGTTTTTGTTGTAAGTAAGGTGTTTAACAAAACTCTTGAATCAACTTTGTTTCAATTGTATTATAAATTGTTTTGCAGGACCATGGAAGTATCAATTCTGATAATTTTTTTTATTCATTTGATTGTTAATAAATTGAGAGGATAAAAAATCTGTTAATTTTTTTATTCATGTCTTCCGATTATGGTTTTGGTTAATTATTTATATGTTGATAATAAATTCTGCTAGAATTTTACTGTTTTATTTTGATAAAATTTTAATATTTATATGTTGATAATGTATTCTAATAGAATTTTACTATTGCATTCTAACAGAATTTGTGATAGAAATGGATTGAAGAATGGCTTGAAGAACTGATGAGAAAGGTTTGAAGAATGAATTAAAGAATGATCACACTCAATGTTTAAGAATGTTGTTATTTTTTAAGAATTACACTTGTTATTCTTTCAGAATGTTGTTATTATTCAAAGAATCACAATTAATTATTTGGTATATTATTAGTTCAAGAATCTATTTTGTGTATTCTTTTCAGAATGTATTTAGTAGTTTATGATTGACATTATGTTATTCTGACAAAATATGTTAGAATGTAGTTATTTTTCAACCTCGGATTCCAGAACTTTGTTATTATTCAATAATATTCTAATAGAATAAAATTCTGAAAGAGCATCATTCTAACTAAAAAAATATTCTGACAGAATAAATCGGTTATTTTTGCAAATTATGTTAGAATTAAAATTGAATTAATTAAAAAAAACATATTTTTAAAATTAGTAGAATTAATTATCCATAAATATCCGAAAATTTCCTTTTATAATTGTAGTTAATTGTCCAAAATACCCTTTTGCTAAAATTTGTGTGATTATATGGTACATGCTATCCCATTGTAATATCATACACTCTCAAATCATGTTCATTGATGAATTCCATCAATTGGTCCAGATTTGTGCATTCTGGCATACAATAGTTAGTAAAAACAAAATAACCTAAGCCTATATATATATATATATATATATATATATATATATATATATATATATATATATATATATATATATATATATATAGAGAGAGAGAGAGAGAGAGAGAGAGTGAGATCAAGGTTGAAATGTGGACTGACATCTATTGTGCGGACGTGTGGACAATGCTATTCTGTGAAAATAACAAACAAAATATGTTGTTTGATAATGTGAATATGTTCAATCTTACATAACTATTGTCATTATCACGCACTCTCACTAGTTAAATCGTCTATAAGGTTATTATAGACTTTTTTTTATTCTCATTCTGTCAGAATGTTGTCAGGATGTTTATTGAGTCGTATTCTGTAAGAATGAGAATGAGTGAAAAACGATGTGTGAAAAACAAAAATGAATTAGAATTAGTGAGAATGCATGAAAATGACAATAATTGTGTGAGGTTGAACATATTCACATTATTAAAAAAACATATTACTTTAGTAATTCTTATAGAATAGCATTATCCACACATCCACACAATAGTTGTCCATCCACATTATAAGCTGACCATATATATATATTATATATATATATATATATATATATATATATATATATATATATATATATATATATATATATAGAGTCAAGATCAAATAAGAAGGAAATTTTTGGTAGGAAGGTAAGAAGTTTTTTTTCTACATATTTTTTTCGCGAACAAACAAATGAATCATTAGATGATTCATTTGTAAGATGATTCACAAGAAAAAATTCTCAAAAAAACATCTCGATGATTAATTTATACAATGATTTTTGTTGTTATTCACTAAAATTGTCATAAAAATGAATTTTTCTTAATTTACTTAAAAATGAATCATAAGATGTTTTTTTGGGGAATTTTTTCTTGTGAATCATCTTACAAATGAATCATCTAGTGATTCATTTATTTTGTTCGTTAAAAAAATATGTAGAACAAAACTTCTTACCTTCCTACCCAAAAACATTTCTTACCGGATCTATATATATATATATATATATATATATATATATATATATATATATAATATATATATATATACTAGGTTATAACCCATCAGAACCATGGTTACAAAATTAATTAAACTTTCATAGTAAAAACTCATAATTATTAATATATTATTGTAAAAAAAATCTTAAATAAGAGATATAGGTATTTTTTATTATGTAAATTTATAATCATTGATTAAAAAAAATAAGTGAAATTAATTTTGAAGATATATGAGACACTTTTTATTTGTGAACTAATGAAAAAAATATTGATATTATATAATAATATATTAAATTTATTATAAAAATTAAACACCCACATTAAATGAAGTAAATTAAAACAAATAAGGTATGTTAATTAAAGTGGACATATGTAATAAAATAATTTTTAATTAATTTTATTTATTTATAATAATGATATCGAAAAATAAAGTTTGAGACATACGATTTATCAATTAAAGGTAATCATATCAGTCGACTTAGATATAGCAATATATATATATATATATATATATATATATATATATATATAATATATATATATATATATATATATATATATATGGTGAGGTTCAATAGAGAACTATAATTAACCAAGGAACCATCTTTTTTTCATCTTTTACAACTTATTTGTTATAAAAAAAACAAAAAATACAGAAATTCATAACTTTTTATTATTTTTCCAATGATATCAAATTCAATTTTTTTTACGTCAAATTCACAATGTGAATTTTTGAAAATTCACAATGTGAATCCGGATTCACACGGTGAATCCGAAAAATATTTTTCACATCACAATGTTAATATATGAATTTAGATATTTTTAGTTTTTTTTTCGATAAAGAATAAGCTCTAGAATTGAAAAAAAGATTTGTTTCCTTGAAGAACCAATAATTATGGTTTTCTATTGAACTTTTCCATATATATATATATATATATATATATATATATATATATATATATATATATATAGTATTTTTTGTTCAAATATGTTTATTATAGATTAGTATTTATATAGAATAAGTATAAATAAATAATTAAGTTAGAAAATAATCCATTTAAACATAAAAATATATAATAAGGCAATATAGTAACCCTCTGCAGATTTATAGGGATTAGTCTTTATTATAGGAATAAACCTGTAACCGACTCCTTTTAAACATTAAAATTAGAGATATAATAGAATGACATGTGGTAAATAATTAATATGGAAATATATTAGAGTGACACATGGCAAAAAAATATATTCTTTTATTCGTGTGTATATATATATATATATATATATCTATCTCTATCTATATATCTATATCGCTATCTCTATATATATATATATCTATCTATATCTATATATATTTTCCCCCCCCCCCCCGAACTGCGGAAATGTCTAGGGTGGATGGCTTCATGTACAGTATCATAACAATTAAATATTAATGATCAAAGCCATACAACCATCATATTGATAATTTATAAGTTTACATGGTATTCAAATCATTATTTGTTTGATACCTAATACATATGACAAAAATATATGACGTGATGCTGTAGCGCTCCATCCTCGAAAACCATTTTGATTACCTGTTTACTGATTTCCTGAGAATACAAGCGGTTTTGAAAAAGTGTCAACAATTAAGTTGGTGAGTTCATAATAGTTTTGTATGAGAAAAATCTGCCATTTTTCCTTGTAAGATGATAGAGTGTGATTCCAAAAAATCTAATATTTTCTTTTAAAATGAGCTGTAGGTCTTAATCCCAAGACCAAAATGGTAAGTAGTGCTGTAATGGACAATAGTATAATGTAGATTTATCTTTATTTAAAACTTGATTGAAGGTAAGTTAGCCCCGTAAACCAAATGTATTGTTAATAGCCCATGTGAGTTATTATAACCGTGCTAAACGACATAGATGGCCTGTCACGACATTCTTCAGGCGTCGGAATGTTATGACATTTGTCACCCCAGACCTGCCGGTCTAACTGTAGCTAACAGTTTAGGTGCGGGATTGTCAGTCCCGTATAGATCTATACACAAGTATCACGCTCTCTTACGTGAGATTCTAGTTATAATCCAAGACATTTGTAGGTACTGTAGTAAGTACGTGAAGATAGTGTCTCAAAACTTTGTATTAACAGGTTTACGTATAGTGTAATGAAAACCCTTTTGTAAGTGAAAATATTGTCTTCCATAGTAGGTTACATAGTGTAAAATAATTATTCGTGTTGTATCCAAAAACGGTAAAATAGTGTCAATGACCCATAAACTATACCTATTATAGTTTATTATAATTGTTTTGTTGTGTCTATATATATATAATATATATATATATATATAGATATATATATATATATATATATATATATATATATATATATATATATATAAGTTAGCATGTTAGATGTTTTAAAAGGTCATACTTATGACTTACATCTAACACGAGTACTAGAAATTTGTATGAAAAATTCCATTTCTAGCTTTTGCCCCTTTTTAACGATATTTACCCGGTAAATAGTGAAATGTAGCTTAATGAAACTTATTTTTCACCTTTTTGAGATATTCAAATAAAGTTAATTTTTATATGTTTAAAACGACATATTTTGGTCAAGAGCTACAAAAATGGTGTAATAACTTGGTTTTAACCATTTCTGCTAGAAAAGTCATCTTGTGCTCAATAAAACCATATTTATGCAAATAACACTTTGAACACAAAATAGAGATGAACATGTATATCAACTCTTTGTTAATATATAATTTTTGCTTGTATCCCCCCCTCCTAAAACATGAAAAACTCGAAAATATGGGGGTATGAACTCACCATGAGTGTAATTCTGGTTGGATAAAGAGGTAATGGTGAAGATCTTCAAGCGTAGAACACTTGAAAGTGGTTGAAAAACTCTTTGAAAATGGTATTATCCTATGAGTTTTAACACATCATAATGTGTGTAAATGAGATGAAACTATCATGAAAGTGTGTAGAACACTAGATTTGTAACGACCCAATTTTCAAAAGAAAATTTTCATTTTTAAATAGTCAAAAACATTTTCAATAAACCATAAAATCTCAAGTACATTTGTTTTCAAAATGATAACATCCACAATATTATTTCAAACATCTGAGTGTCCCA